GTTTTAGCGAGACTAAGGAACAGCAATCCATTTTTATATATATAGAAGATATAAAAATAAGTCACAAATTATCAAAATTTGTGACTTATTTTTTCAGTACCACGGCTTTTTAGAATAGGTCATTTTAAATTCTCTGACCCTTCCATTAATGATTAAACCAACGACTTTATTGATTACTAGTTTTTGCCCGCGACTTCGTCCGCATTAGTTTGGTCAAGAGTAATATACAGGGTGACTGGTGAATTACTATCGATACTTGAGGACGTGATATTTGACGATCATATATGACAAAATAAAAATTAATATAACATAAATATTAATAAACTTCTAAGTAAAGTTAACCAAAAGTTATGTAATTAATTACGCATCGTGTGAACACCCTACAGATTAGATATACACACACACACACACGCGCGTGCGGCGGCGTGGTGTTGTATCAGCACGCCGCCGCACGCGTCCACACTTGGAACACTTGGAACGCGTCCACACTTTATTTATTTATACGAAAATTTGGTCAAAAATTAAGTACCTATTTTTATTACATAATTCGAATGAGAATCATGTACCGAGTATTCTCCTTAAATATTGATAGTAATTCACCAGTCACCCTGTATGTAGGTATAGCTGACCAGGCGAACTCTATTCCATCTTAGAGGCCATAAATAATCAGATTTTGCCTGTTTCAATCAAACAGAATGATTGACATATTAGTTAGTTGTCAAATGTAATGACAAAAAAACGTTTGTATGGGAAATAGAAAAGAGCTGTTTTTAGGGTTTTCCCGGCAATTATTCCAATTTTTCTCACCTTTTGAACCTTCCCTGGACTTCCAGGAGTATTTCAAGACTAAAATTAGCCAAATCGGTACAGCCGTTCTCGAGTTTTAGCGAGACTAAGGAACAGCAATCCATTTATATATATATAGAAGAAGAAGATTATTATCAATACGATAAGGCAATTTTTCGCGTTACTTGCGATTTGCTGTAAGCTAATTACAACTAGAATATAATGTATGAGAATAATAATCGATATAGATGACGTTTTACAATTAGATTTTTATAACTCAATAAGTGTGGAAGCCGACGCCCTCTGGTATTTTATATTGTTTCTCATACGTACCCATGATTATAGTTCAATAAATCGCGGTATAATTCCGAACACCATAGTGTTATAAAGATGTGTACTCGGTAAAAATGTTATACATTATATAAATATTTGTCTTGTATATTTCTGTAAAATCACTGTAAAAATACCTGTAAATATACATATCTGTTGTATGTATGTAAATTATGAACGCCATCAGGATATTATTTCAAACACGTGATATCTTATTCGTAGTTTTTGAAATTGTCATTTCAAATGTATTTTGCACTTTGATATTTTATTCCTTTCCTAATTTCGAATTCTAGAGACGTTGCATATTAGACGGTCACTTTTCAAACGAACATATTTCCAGTTCAAACTGGAATCGAGATTCAAATACCTTCATGTGATGAATATTTCCGATTTTATGCAGCGAGGATCACGTACAGTAAGAAAATTAAGTTTGGATTTAGATTATTATGTCCATTTTCAATCATTTCTCTGTAGACTCTACTTTTATGACTCTTATGACAAGTTAAAGAGGAAGGTACTTACTGAATCTGATTGTGAGTCATAGGCTGAGAGGAATTACATTTCGATGTTAAAATAACTATGACGTATTGATGTTTATATTAAAAATAAATAAAGGAATGAATTTAGACTTCAATGGAACAGAATTATTGAGATAATTCCAAGTCAACAGTTTAATAACTGTTTCCTTACTGGGTAAGGCTATTCCTGACACAATAATAAAGAAAAAGTCGATAAAGTTCTATCTGTCAAACATTTATATACTATTATCTATTGGAAGTATAAGAATTATTAAATAATTGGAATAGTGGAAATCAAAAGTTGTCTTCAAATGGAAGGCAATTTTTTTAACTTTTTCGGGGCGACAAACATTACAAGTCTTCTTAAAAAGAAAAACAAATGAATGTCGCACCCACACATTACAATTATTACAAATGTATATTGGAAGGACTCTGCGTAAATTTACGACATGCGTAAGTTCTTGAAAAAGATCCACATTTCAATGCCTAATTTGTGCAATCTTGTGTTTGCTGAAGTTAATATGAACGTGTGTGGTAACAGTTTACATTTAGCGGGAGTTTTAGTATTATTAGCCTTTAGCAAATAAAAAGTAAATAATACTACCCCGGGGACAAAAAATTAACCAGTCTTTAATCCATATATCCGTTGTCCCTTCCGAACCCTTACCTTTTTGTAATGTAAAAATTTGTATGTCATATGTACATATATACCTAAAGGATAAAGAAGTTTTGTATTAATGTGGTATATATAGGGTATTTGGTTTTAATAAATGCCTAATAGTTCGCAATGATATATTCAGGATCCGTGTAATTTGATGCGCATTGGTTGAATATCAATAACGTCAAATCAATGGCGTGTTAATATGAACGTCAAATGTCGATGATGTGCTTCATTAACAGCGAGGCTGTCGGTGTCAGATGTCACGATCACTCAAATACATAGATTAATGAACACGGCGATAACAGATGACACGCATGGTAATAAAAAGCAATTATAATAATAGAAAATATTACATATTAATACACGAGACGACAAGTATCATAGAACATAGAGTACCTAACTTGTGCATAAGCACCTCACACCTGTATGACCTTTCTCAGTGGGACGCCCTTACATTAGCCGTCGGCGTAGTTACCACCTCTTAGATCAAGTGTGAACTGTTGTCTTATGACGAGTAGAGTTTGAATTATAGAATCTCTGTTATATAGGGTGCTTTGAGATGGTAGATAGCGGGATCGGAAAGCGTATTTTTTTCGCTCCGTTTGGCTCCCGGATGACCCGCCCTGATCGCCATCTCTTACATTTCTGCATCTCTCCCTCTAAATGTACCTTACTAGCATCAAAAGTTTGCACAGTAATCTCTTGCCAACCTTCCACTACCTAGATAATAGTAACCCGCACTTGCTTGTTTTGACAAAGAATCAGATTCTATGTTCTAGGGAAGCATATACAGGGTGACTGGTGAATTACTATCGATATTTGAGGACGTGATATTTGACGATCATATATGACAAAATAAAAATTAATATAACATAAATATTAATAAACTTCTAAGTAAAGTTAACCAAAAGTTGTGTAATTAATTACGCATCGTGTGAGCACCCTACAGATTAGGTATACACTGACACTCACACATACGCGTGTCGTGACGTGTTGTTGTATCAGCACGCCGCCGCACGCGTCCACACTTGAACACTTGGAACGTGTCAACACTTTATTTATTTATAGGGAAATTTTGTCAAAAATTAAGTACCTATTTTTTTTTACATAATTGGAATGAGAATCATGTACCGAGTATTCTCCTTAAATATTGATAGTAATTCACCAGTCACCCTGTATATTTCGTTTCCACATTACTCTCTTGAGTATCACATTCTTGAATACTCTTGGGTATATGTATGTATATCCCAAATTACATCTGTTGTCAGCGTCCCCAACATCTTTTTCTACCGTCTAGATGCTAGTGGACAAAATAGTTTATACTGAAGTATATATCGATTATACCGGTGACTAGGAGACGGTAAAGACGTGATTTTCATGTGGGTGTAATATTAAGCAGCTGATATCTAATTAAGTATTCTTCGTCATAGCTAGGTTTTAAGAGATTTAGATGCACACCATTAAGACTGTTTGTTTCCATATAATCTGACCAACTATGTAGAGAAATAGGAGCGGAATTTCATCTTGTCTCTAAGAAGTTACAAGAATGTCGATTTTGTATGACCAAACAGCCACTTTTCAAAATGTACTTTTAGAGATATCGTGCACCACCGTAGATCCGTATTGTGTGAACCACCACCGAGAGATCCGTATTGTGTGAACTCGAAAGTAGGCGTTACTAATGTCGAGTAAGGGAAAAGAAGTGAGGAGTCTCTTTGATATTTCAAATCAATATATCATAAATTATAACATTATTTATTAGTCCAGAATGAAACAACAGAAAGCGAATTCAACACGAATTCACATCGTTTTATATCCAGTCCTTGTAAAGCCTGCAGCTCCCTAAAATACAGTTTAAAATACACTCATTTATTTTCAAATAATTTATCGATTTATTACATAATCATAGTTTTAATATCTTTCATAGATAATTCAATTTGTTTCACAGTCTTCCATTACGTTTGGTGTTAATAAATAAAAGTCAACAAGTTGTCACAAATATTTATTCATCTTAACTAAAGAGTCATTAAAACATTTCATCATGATAGAAGAGCGCGCGGACCAGCTGACACGACACACGACACGACTTTAGACTGACGACAAATAGCACTTACGAGAGAATACAGGCAGGAGATAGAAACAAATATTACGAGGAAAATAGAAAACATTAACATAATATAAGGGTTCGATTATTATATCTTACAGATAAATGTCACTTGTACTAAAAGAACAAATAATGAGGAAAATATGAAAGGAACGGGAATAGTGATCTATAGCACCTCGGGTGTGATAGGAAATAGGAGGAGGGAAATACAACATGGATAGGACCATTGCGTCGGTTAGTAATAAAACAATCTTTAATGTAATTCATATTGATATAAAAAGTCAATACGTCCCTCGGATGGCGGCCGAGGACGCTTGAACTAAGAAATAAAACACGTGACAAGCGGAACAAGGTCACTAGCGATAGAAGGAAACGAGATAAGATAAGCTGGACTATAGACACGCGGACTATGAGGGAGGGGAGAGGGACGTCAGGAACACATGTGACATACAATAATTATTATAAATGCACCAGAGCGGCCCCTCCCTTCTAGTCCATGTTCCGCCCCTGGCTTGTGTTCTACGTGCGGCGTCCCTGACGCGCAACTCTAATGAGGTCATTAACATTATCTATATATATTAATACGTGTGGTTGTGCGCGGTCAGAAGGGTCGGTAGTGCGCGGCGTGTCTGTGGGGCGCGGCGGCGGTAAGATGCGCGGCCACGTGCGTCCAGCCCAGCTCGCGTGCGGCGCGCGCTGCTCGCTGGTCCACATCTCGTGAGGGTCGCTCCTCACTCGTCCTTAACCACAGCCTCATAGCTCGCCCCCACTGCTCCAGGGCAGTCCAGTGCCATAGACCATATTGTAAGGCGCGAGGTTCACTCAGCTCCGTGTACTTCAGTAATGTGTTCGCGTTCTCGTGTAAAACGGAAGCCGGCCGTCCTAGACGACATAGTGCGGAGCCGCGACGACACAACGCCTCGATAAGATAGCCGCGCTGACGATCGAACTCTCTGTAATGAAATACGATGACATTTATATAACGTGACGTATTGAATAAACATATTGTAGTGACTTGTAGAACATAAACTGTATAAATTATTATAAATCACTCATATCTCACTCACTGTTTTATCTTATTAGAGTCGGGCCGCATGTCGTTCTTGGTCCCCAGGTGCGCCAGTAACTTGTCCTGATCTATACTCTTGATGACCTGCGATACACCACACACGTCACTCATTTATATTATTATTGTTTTCAACTAAATAGACAAAGCATAGTCCGTTATACTTAGGCTGAGCTTTACATTTTTGTCAGTGAAAGTAAAAGTAGAGTTAGTCAAAAAACTTTTAGAATTAAATTTTATTGTATTTTAAATAGATACCTAACATAAATGCTAAAAAAAAAGCAAAACTTGTAAAAGTCCAGATGGAAATATTATGGAAAAAAAAATTATTGATGAATAAAAAAATTTAAAAAACTATACAAATTATTATTCACTTGACATTGCGTTTTCAACATTTGATTTTGCTACCAGTACAAAAGGTGAAATGAGGAAGGTGCGGGGCGGAGTAAAAACATAAACCGGTTCAAAACTAGAAAAGAACGTGGCATTCAAAAATTTAACATCACACCTACACTATCCGTGTACACTCACACTAATGCAAAGCTCAGCTTAATTCAAATGCACTATACTTAAATCTATTTCCGACCAGGTTTTAATAAGTATTAAGTATCCAATATTAAGATTCCATATATAGAAAGACACGATAGTTTAGTTGGTGAAGTGCTTAAATATAATATTTTCAAGTCACAGGTTCAAGTCATGTTCGTACGATGATATTTTTTCATCATCATCCCTCTACTCTATAAGTCATACCTTATCAGCGATGCTTATAATCTGTTCGTCTTGAGCCGGTTTCAATCCGTTCGCTCCGTCTTCTGTATTCGGTAACCTGGAACACATATCATATTTATTTGATTAATAATTATATATTGCCATTTCTATATTATTAATATGGAGTTTAATGGGGAAAAACATTACAAGTCCTCGGTAACTCAGTCGTCAAATCGACAGAGACACGGTAACTTACGTGACAGTTTCGAATTCGTTTCCTTTCAATATTGTACATACTGTTTATTTACTACAATTTTAATTTAAATATTTAATGGACTTTAATGCTTTCGTCATTTAGTAAGATTAAATAATTTCATATAGTTATCATCATCTACCAGTGCTATAGATCTCATTTTACTCAGCAAATCCCTACCTCTTGGGGTCAGTCGGTGAGTCCAGACTGTTCATATAAGCCACATGAGCTCCGATGAAGTTCGGGAATTTCTCTAATATTTCTTCGTACACCTGGTCCAACTTTTCTCCCTCTGTGAAACGAATGGTGCACGTTATAACCATCATAATTTGAGGTCCCCACCCCGCACTCAGGTCTTCTATAGTGCGTTTGATTTAAGCTGAGCTTTGCATTTGTGTGAGTGTACACGGTTAGTGTAGGTGTCATGTCAAATTTTTGAATGCCACGTTCTTTTCTAGTTTTGAACCGATTTATTCTGCTTTTACTCCGCCCCGCACCTTCCTCACTTCATCTTTTGTAATGTAGCAATATCAAATGTTGAAAACGCAATGTCAAGTAAATAATAATTTGTATCGTTTTTTCAAAATTGTTATTCATCATTTTTTTTTTTAAATATTCATAATATTTCCATCTGCATTTTTACAAGTTATGCTTATTTTATAGCACTTACGTTAGGTATCTATTTAAAATAGATAAAATTTAATTCTATATATTTTTTTGTCTAACTCTACTTTTACTTTCACTCACACAAATGCAAAGCTCAGCTTAAGTCTAACGGACTATAATAATCACTCACCCATCTTAGCCATCCATCCTACAGTGAACTCCCTCAGCGCGTCGTGGTAGTCGTCGTGTCGCCGATTGTCCTTGATGGTCCGGCGCGGTCCGTCCAGTAAGTTGACAGTGAGCGGGTACACGTCCACCTTGTGGCCCAGCTCGTCCTTCACGAACGACACCGTGCCCGTCAGAGACACGCCGATAGACAGGCTCGAACGACTTATTCTGGATAAAGATACATATATATAGGTATAAGGAAGACGAGGAAATTATTTAACGTCGAAAGAGATTACTGCTTCAAAAAAATGAAACGAAATCATTAAGAACGGCTAGATACTAAAGCTGGTTCGTATCTAATTTCATAAAAACTAATTAATTATCAGACTTTACACTCTCAACGGAAGGTATAGAAGAAAAAAATCCTTATAGTTTTACAGAGATATAAAGAAACTGTGACTGTCGTCCATCGAGAGGTGTTTAACTGTTTGTTAATATAACAATCGACACTAACTTATCAGCGGGGAGCGGCGCGAAGTATAAAGGCAGTACTTCACCGCTGGCCAGAGACGCTGATGTGAACTTCTTCCCACCGGTCAGCGCCTGGAAGAGAGCTCACGTTACTTATCATATATCCATATATCGAGCCGTGTGTATGTACAGCAATACCCCGCTTAACGCGACCCCGTTTTGCGCGGTTTCACTATAACGCGATTTTCAAAAATTTATTCAGTTTGGAACATTGCAGAGTATAGACAATAATGATGACCGTGTCAAACGATTAGAAACAGTGTTTGGTGTTATGAACGTATTTTACAAAAACGTAAACAAAACGCTACCCAAAAGACAATACATGTATTTTTTCGTAAAAAATAGGAGTACCTATGTATTGCATAGTGTTCTTAGAACTAAAGTGATTGATTAAAATGATTTTTATATTTGTGTATTAAATTTTGACTGTGTTTAATCATAAACCTCGATATACACGAATTTCAGTTAACGCGATTTTCTTCGGAACGTATCCCTCGCGTAAAGCGGGGTATTACTGTATGTGTATGTATGTGTGTGTATGTGTATGTGTATGTATGTGTATGTGTATGTATGTGTCACCTGCGGCTGGTCACTGTACACGTCCAGCGTGACTGGCTGCGCGAGTCTCTGCTGCACCACGACCGGCAGCTCCGTGAGTCGCTCCAACAGCGCGCGGCTCTCGTGACGGACGGACAGACGGAGGGTGTACTCGCCCTTATCAACCTTGGCTGAGTACTGGCGAGTGACGACATATATATATTACTACTATTTGACTACTATTGACTGGCGTAATAGAGTGTCCGAGAATTTTTAGCGTATAAGTGATGGGTTTTTTTCAATGTTAACATCTGAAAGTAGATAGTTCTGACAAAAGCATATCTTCATTGGACAAAACAAATATGAAGACCAAAAAGAACTCAGTTACTAATAATTCAAGGACTATTAATAAGAGACAAAAATAGATCAAAATAACTTCCCGCTGTCAACTTCCACGGACAACTTATACATGTTCGTAGCGCGGCAAATTCAAATGAATATAACAGACCCAGTGACTTCACATTATTCTCCCTAGGGGCTATATAAACCCCTTACTATTCCCATACAAACTACATCAACGAAAACATAAATTATCCGCTCCATATTAATCATCGTCTACGCAATATTATTGCAAGTTTCATTAAGATCCATCAAGTAGTTTTTGAATCACAAATCATCAAACGTTCAAGCATTCATACAAACTTTGATATCCTTTGTAAGAGTTGGACAAAGAGTATAATTAATGCAGTATATTATATGAAGAAGTGATAAGATATAGAAGACTTATTGACTGTATATGTTGTACCTTAGAGGGGTAGGCGTCCCCTACAGCCACTAGTTGCTTGCAGCTGTTGTACAACATCCACATCTGGGACTCGAACTCCGACTCGTACAACATGTCACACAACATCGGCACCATCGGCGACACCTGGTACAGAAAACATCAGTTGATGGTCCGACACAAATAAATCTATTAGATTGCTATTACTATTAAAATGTTCATTTTCAATTAGTACTATTATAAAAAATAAAACAGAATTATGACAGATTTAATGATTTTGCATTTTATATAATAGTATAGGCTCAGGCGAAATAAATACGTAATTGCGTTTTCTGAAATAACAACACTCTTTTATTCACATCACACTTATACACAAGTTTTACTACAATTAACATATTTTAAACAGAATAGTTTACCTGAATTAATAAAAAACACATTTCTAGCCTTTAATTCTAGTTAAATGCCTACTAATATTATAAATGCGGAAGTAACTTTCTCTGTCTGTCTGTCTGTTACGCTTTCACGCCTAAACCACTGAACTGATTTTAATAAAATTTGGTACAGACATAGAGTTAACCTTGAAAAAGAACATAGGATAGTTTTCATCCCAGACTTTTGAAAGGTTCTCTTGAAAACGCGATGTAACCGAACTCCACGCGAGCGAAGCTGCGAGCGGAAAGCTAGTAATATTATGCTGCTCTTAACATTAATCAGAAGAATATTTTGCATATATATATATATATTAAAAAGTTTTTACTCACCTCGGTAGCTTTAGGTATATTGAAGGTATACGTGTTGAGCAGCTGGTAGATCTGTCTGGAGGGGGGGATGACGTCACGAGCGTTCAACGAACACAGCTTGGACTCGGACGGTCTGGAGAGAAAAAATTACTGTGACTTAGAACATTACTTAGGTGCAAACTAAGTACATTGGAAGAAATCATGTATGTATATGCTTAAATGAAATGTAATGATGAGGTAACTTATGAAAGTCAAATAAATAGTGCAATAACAACAATAATTAATTGGCTAACCAAAAATAATTTAATTATAAATTTACATAAAACTCAGATAATGCATTTTTATCAAAGATCGCAAGTTCAAGAATTAAACATAAACTACAATAATCAAAAGATTGAACAGGTTAATGTTGCTAAATATCTTGTTATATTGATAGATAGTCAACTAACATGGAAACCTCAAGCAGAAAAGATTTATAAAAAACTTAATGTCTCAGCGTATGCTTTACATAATTTGGCTAAAAAAGTTAATGTTAATACCATTCTAATTGCATACCATGGTCTAGTTGTTTCTTATTTAAGATTTGGCATTATATACTGGGGTAACTGTTGTCAAAGGGAAAGTATCTTTAAGGGTCAAAAACGATGCCTTAGATCTATTTTCAATTTGAAGGTCACGGACAGCTGTATACCGATTATAAAAATATAAGCTTTTAACATTTCCTTGTTAATATATATTTGAAATTGCAGTCTTTATGAAAACAAACAAGCACCTTTTTCCTTCATTAAGAGATACTAGAAATCGCGCCATAAATCTAAGGTCTCAATATCAGAATCTTTTATGTACAGGCAACTACAAAACTGCATTATTAAAGAGGAACATATTAGCCATGGCCCCTACTATATATATCAAAATACCTAATCAGATAAAAGAATTAACTTATATAAAATTTAAAAAAGTTTTGTTTTTTTTCTAGTTAACAATTGCTACATACTACTCAGTAAACGATTTTCTAATGGATAACACATAATTTTGAAAGAAATTGCTAAATAAAAATTGTATAAAATATATAACTTAAATAATCATCTATCTTGTTAATTTTAATTATGTAGTTAAGTTTAATTTATAATTTCAATTGTATGAGTATTGTTGATTTGACTTTGTTTTTTCATTGAATTTTTAATTTTAATCTGTGAAACACTTAATAAGAATTTATAATTATAATTGCATGGTTAATTTAATTTCTAATTTAATTGAATACTTAATTTTAATTTATAATTAAAACCTAATATTCGCATGCCTTATGGTAGAATGTACCTGGAACTTATATTAAAATCTATTTGTACACCTATATTCTGTACCTACATTCAGAGCAAATAAATGTTATTATTATTATTATATAAAAAAGTTCACGATCTAATTTTTTCAACTCTAACAGAGTTTTAGTTCCCAAGTATCTACAAATCTGATATTTTAAATATAGCGACCACGAGATGATAATATGAGTTGATATTTCTAGAAAAACATTCTAGTATATTCATATAGAACATTTTTAATAAACGTTGTAGCAGCTGTATTAAAGCAAGTCCATACTACTCCATCTAAAGATATGCTTTGGTCAGAACTATCTTCTTTCAGATGGTAACTTTGAAAAAACCCATCACTTATACGCTAAAAATTCTCGGACACTCTATTACGACAGTCAATAGTAGTAGTCAATAGTAGTGAAATAGTAGTAATAGTAGTCAATAGTAGTCAAATAGTAGTCAGTATATAGTAGTCTACAAAGCCGCTACCATACGTCTCAGTTCCATCCTATATTCTATCCTATATACAGTAATATCCCGCTTTACGCGAGGGATACGATCCGAAGAAAATCGCGTTAGCTGAAATTCGCGTATATCGAGGTTTATGATTAAACACAGTAAAAATTTAATACACAAATATAAAAAACATTTTAATCAATCACTTTAATTCTAAGAACACTATAGATTACATAGGTACTCCTATTTTTTATGAAAAAACACATGTATTGTCTTTTTGTTTACGTTCTTGTAAAATACGTTCATAACACCAAACGCTGTTTTTAATCGTTTGACACACGTTCAAGACACGGTCATCATTATTGTCTATACTCTGCAATGTCCCAACCTGAATAAATTTTTGAAAATCGCGTTATAGTGAAACCGCGCAAAACGGAGTCGCGTTAAGCGGGTGATTACTGTACCTATACACAGGCTCGATATGTTTGAGCACGGCGGTGGGCTGCACGTCCAGCGGGCGGAGCGCCGTGAGCCGCACGCTGCCCAGCGCCGCACTGGTCAGTGTAAGTCGCGGCCCGCAGTCCGGCTTCAGTCCGTGAAGTTCTATAGTATAGTCCACTGTAACGTCGCCCGCGTTGGCCCAGTACTTGGCGATCGCAACCTCCACCGTCACGCCGCCCTGGAACATATCACACATACTACTACTATCAAATTTTAATCTTCAGGTAACAAAAAAATGTGAAATGTTGAGTGCATTGTTATGTATGCCTGTTATAAAGGACAAAATATACAAAAGTTCTCTTTTTGTGTTCTGAACGAAATGAATTTAACAAATAAAAACATATCACACATCAGATACTACTACTATAAAATATTAGAAATACTACTAGCTGACCCGGCGAACTTCGTACCCCGCTATAATCAAGAAATATCTGTTACCTTTTTATCTCAATGAAGTTAATTTCTTCATTAAGTATAACTGACCCGACAGACAACGTTCTGTCTTCTTAACTGTGATCATTGAATTCTAATTGGTACATATATTAATAAATTAAAATTATTCCAAAAACAAAGTGTTTATTATTCTAATGCTTTATTCTAACTACATATTTCAATATTTTTATTAATAATATAAATTTAATATTTCAATATAGGAATATACTAGTTTATGCTGATGAGTAAAAAAATTTAAAGAAATCAATTCCATCAACGACTGCAACTTATTAAAGAATGACTTAAACAATCTATGTAACTATTGTGATAAGAATTTTTTGACTTTAAATGTTATAAAGTGCAACACTATATCATTTACTCAGAAAATAATTCCACAAATGTATGTGTATAATCTAAATAACTTATCTTTAAATAGGGTGTTTGCGGTTAATGACCTCAGCATAGTTTTAGACTCTAAGCTTACTTATGCTTCTCACATTTGTTACATAACATCAAAAGCTTATCGAATGCTTAGATTTATTTTAAGAGTTGGTAGGGACTTCAGACAGTGCACAACTTTGGTTCTGCTCTATAACTCATATGTTCGGTCTGCCCTTGAATACGCCTCTACCGTATGGAATCCTCAGTATAAAACTTATATAAATTAATTAGACTCCATTCAAAGAAAATTCTACAAAACCATGTGTTATAGAGCTGTATCTTCTGCTAAAATACAACTCTTGTCACCTCTTACTTTACGTAGACAAGCTAGAGGCCAACTTTTCTTATATAAAATAATTAACAGTTTCGTAGATTCACCTTTCCTATTGTTTGTTTGTTTGTTTGTTTGAAAGCGCTAATCTCCGAAACTACAGGTTCGAATTGAATAATTCTTTTTGTGTTGGATAGTCCAGTTATCGAGGAAGGCTGGTGGCTATATAACATCACGCTACGACAAATAGGAGCAAAGATATAGTGGTAAATGTGTAAAAAACGGGAGAAATTATTTCATCTTTGAAGCCTTCCTTTGCGTGCGCAGTGAAAACGGTTCAAGATACACTAAAAATATGTATCAAAGAATAATAGCTCTTTTAATGATCTAAAAAACAGTCCGCGATAGTATATGTCTATCTTTTAAGCAGTGGCGGCTGGTGGGTTATGGAACTGGTGGTGCATTCTACTAAAATATTAAAATTAGAAAATGCAACAAAAAACCAATTGACATAAAATATGTTTATTTTTTATACATTAATTAATGCAACGATATTTTTCCGAAGCGTAATATTCAATCACCTATTTATTAAAATCGGGTATTGTTTGTATATATTTTTTTAATTCAATACTAAGCACAGAAAGTGCATTTAGCAACTACAAGGTATTTCGGAGAAAAGTTTTGATTCTTTTCAATTCCAATTCGTCATACATCGGGTGCTCTCGGTAATCTTCGGCCGCTCGTGTGGCCGTCGAGAACCGACTTATTACTCGGTACATTTCTATGAACTATCTTTTGTTTCACGCGTCAGGCGTATTATTTCGTATCTCATACAAGATGTATTAGCAGTCCTCGTGCACTCGCCGAAGCGCACGAGATATTAGTTTAGTAAAGCGCTCAAACTTTTTGACTATAATTAGAAATTTAATTTTTTATACGTTTTTGTATGTTTAGAAAATAAATATTAAAATGGTAATTTAAAAATAAAGATGAAGTAATATTTTGTAATTTTCAAATCTTTTGAATTGGTGGTTCAGCGCACGAGTGCACTTAAGGTACAGCCGCCACTGCTTTTAAGATTAACTCACAAAAACCGTTTTTATGGTACCTAATTTGGTCGAAATAATTTTATAAAATCTTTATTCAAATAAACAAATAAATATGTTGTTGGTTAAGAGAACTTCATTGTGAATTAAAAAAAAAACATAGGTTTTATCCTGAAAACTCTACGGGAACTCGACCATTCCGAAAACCCCGCAAGAACGGGAACTATGTGGGAAGAACCAAAAATCTGCCGGAATTCACTACTCCACGCGGACGGAGTCGCGGCAAAAGCTAGTTAGATATATATACCACATTATATATCGTACCAGTAGTCTGAAGGGAGCGTGTACGGGCGCGTGCGGGCCGAGCGTCATGATGCGATGCGTCTCGTGGTCGCGGCACGAGCGGCGCGGCGCGAGCTGCATCACGTGCACCAGGAACCGGGACGAGCTCTCCCCGCCGCGACGGACCACGCGGACCACGCCCCACGACGCCTCCGACGGGACTGGAGAGTGACGACACACACACACACATATATATGGTTGGGTTACACACACACAGCATTGAATTGACTAAGAATCACACAGGTCTGATTCATTTTAGGGACTCACTCAAAACATTTCGTTATAAGTTTTTGTTCAGCGATAAATTAAATAAATAATCTTTATCAATAAGTTAAAACATTTATAATATAATGTAATAAATGATTTATAAACTTCCTAATATTTGCATGCTGTATCTGCCTTAAAAGATAATGCATTTAGAATTAAGTTACACTGTATTTCTTTTTACCCAATATTGTATGAATGTAATTATCACTGGTGGATCTTAAGTAAATAAATCTTCTATATATATAAAAATGGATTGCTGTTCCTTAGTCTCGCTAAAACTCGAGAACAGCTGAACGGATTTATCTTATCTTAGTCTTGAAATGTTCGTGGAGGTTCAGGGAAGGTATAAAAGGTGAGAAAAATTGGAATAATTGCCGGGCAAACCCTAAAAACAGCCCTTTTCTATTTCCCATACAAACGTTTTTTTTGACATTAGTTTTGACAACTAACCAATATGTCAATCATTCTGTCGCACTTCAAAACACGGAGATTTATGGCTTACAGGTAAACTCAAAAAATATAAATAAAAAAACGTAATAGATATTTCTTGATTATAGGGCGATACGAAGTTCGCCAGGTCTTCTAGTATATTATAGAAATAGATTTGGTTACTACAAAAAGCTATCGATAGTAGTGATAAGCATTACCGGTGACTGACCTACTATGATGTGTCTCTTGATGGCTGACGGGCGGAACAGAACGTCCGTGAGCCGGATGTGGGGCTCGTGTGGCAGACCTGCCAGCGGCTCAGGCTGCAGCACCGTCACCGACACGCGGAACACCGGCCCCTTGGACACGCACGACACGTCGTACGCGTTCACGCTGAAACGAACAACAATACTTGTTACACTATGTTCATAATCACCCTGTATATTAGAATAGTAGAAGAAGACAATATGAACCTAATGCCACATGTGTATAAGGTTGAATATCAGTACCTGGCGAAGTGAGGTCCCGGAGGCAGGTCCGCAGTGTGTACCCTGAGCCCGAAGGCCCGGGGCGCGGCGGCCAGGTGCAGGTGCTTGGGCCCGTGCAGCCAGGCCGGGCCCGCGGTCAGCGCCAGGCGGACCTCGAACGACAACTGGCGCTCCATCACCGCCCGCTCTGATATCGTAACGCTATACACTTTTTTTGTATCGGGCGGATGGTTCACGAGACACGACGCTTATTATATTATTAATAATATACATAAATACTGTTTCATTACACTACAATACTGATAATGTGTAAAAAACATATCTCTGAATAGTAAATCTATATACAAACTATGTACATGGTAACACATTTAAATGGACATACCGCAGCAAACGAACACTTCATTCACTTGACATTTCAACTTCATTTTCCTCCCTAAGAACAAGTTGTATTAACGTACGAAGTACCATTACAACTTTCATCTATTATGAAAGTATGTACTCTCTACTATGTATATATATATATATTATATGACGTCATCATTACAACATGTTCGTGTACTAACTGTTCAGGTCCCGGTAGTCCTCCAGGAACTGCGGCTCCACAGTAACGTTGATGTCTCTGGGCGGGTCGCCGGCTCGAGGTCGGAGGAAGATCCCCTTAGCGTTGTTAGTACCGCACTTTATATTGAACGTGACGTCACGCTCCACCGCCGCGTGGTGAGACACCAGGTGGTCGAACGCCTGCAACCAGTATTAATATATAGTAAGGAAATTAAGACGCACTGGGCGAAAGACGCCTGCTCACTTTTCAGTTGTCGGTCCTCGAGGTGACATAGCTCAAATAATTTAAATGTTAATGTCGTGTTAACAATTTTCTGCTCAACACTGTTTTTGTCACATGAACTTTGTTATGATTTTTATACAGGGTGACTGGTGAATTACTATCAATATTTATGGAGCATACTCGGTACATGATTCTCAATCGAATTATGTAAAAAAAATAGGTACTTAATTTTTGACCAAATTTCCGTATAAATAAATAAAGTGTGTACACGTTCCAAGTGTTCCAAGTGTGGACGCTTGCCGCGGCGTGCTGATACAACAACACGCCGCCGCGCGCGAGTGTGTGTGTGTGTGTATACCTAATCTGTAGGGTGTTCATACAATGCGTAATTAATTACATAACTTTTGGTTAACTTTACTTAGAAGTTTATTAATATTTATGTTATATTAATTTTTATTTTGTCATATATGATCGTCAAATATCACGTCCTCAAATATCGCTAGTAATTCACCAGTCACCCTGTATATGTTGGGGTACCCTGATTAGAAATATATAACAGTTTTGTTTCTATCACACCCAGTTTTCTTGTGACAGGTACATATTCATTTCTGGTCTAACATATATTTCTTTGATTACATAACTGCATTTAGTCGACTCTATGACTATTCAGTTTGCTAAATTACATTATATTTACGTTAGTTAAATCTTAAATATACCAAGAAAGTTTTTAAACAACGAAATTTCATATCACTAATTGAACAGTGCTACTTAGACTATCTTATTTTTCATTTGAGGAATGAAGTCAAATCCTGGATTCCGTATAAATGTTGTGTAAGGTGTGTGAGGCTCTTTTTAGGTTGGGCTAAACAAGAACCTACAAATTTCACATTTGCTATATCCATGATTTGATTGGAAACAAAGGTTCGTGTAAGTGATTGTTATTTTTGTTTAAATCAAACAAAAAGGTATTATAAACAAATCCAAGCACACTAAAAAGTACCCAGATAAGAACTAAGAAGAAAACCTGAATGATCGGCAAAAACTCGCCTGGAAATGTTTTGTGAATGTTGTTCAAAATTTTCTCGGTAACCATATAGCGAAAAATTACAAAGATTCAATAAATGAACTTACGATATCATTAAAAGCTTTGGGGTGTAATATGTTATTGATATTAAATATGCTGGACTCTCATCTGGATTTCTTTCTGTTAAATTTGGGTACCGTGAGTGACAAACAAGGTGAGAGGTTCCATCAGGATATTTCCTCGATGGAGAAGCTTTTTCAAGGGAAATGGAGTCCACAATGCTAGCACACTATTGTTAGAGACTTAAAAGGGACTTGCCAGGAGCCAAAGATTCAAGAAAATCATAAGTATCCATTACATATTAGAAAATAATTCTGTAAGTGTAGCTAATTTTTGTACTTTTTACGAAAAGATATGTTTTGATGTCACAAAAAAACCTGATGTGTAGATTTTTTTTTTCATTAATATATTATTGTTTGGTAGCCCTAGTATATTCAAAATTTGATATAAATCTTCATGTGACAAAAAAAAATACAAATTTGTTGACCAGTATTACTAGTGTTAAGGTTATTTTAATGATATGACTCTATAAGTAGCTTATTTTATGGTACTGGTGTTTGCAGTTCATTACTGCGTTCCTAAATTTACGTTTTATAATTGTTCATTTTAATTAAAATCTTATTGTCAAATGTCATATTGTTATTTTCTTTTTAAATTTCGAACGATATTCCTCTATACATATATAAAGTACCAACCCTACCTTCTCTATATTAAGCAGGCCGGCCCCCTGCGCCCATGGCTCCACGTGTTCCAAGTACGTGGCGGTGTTCTCCAAGGCTCGCTTCATGGAGTAGGGCGAGTGAGGCAGCCCGCGACTCGACAGACCGGAGATCAACGCCGCTGGAACACACACACACATACACTCACACATACATACAGACTACATGGTCTACTTGTAAAGTAAACACGGCTGATTGTAGGGTATATAGATGATACAGTGCAACCTTAACATAACGTACCTCAATATAACGAACTCCTCGAATGAACGAATTTTTCGTAATCCCCTTGAATTGTCCATACGATTAAATATAAAATATACCTCTACATTGCGAACATTCTTTTTGAACAACCTCTTTAGAACGAATTTTCTACTATCAGGAAAAAGTATTCATACCTCTAACTAACGAATTTTGTCAACCCAAAACCTTTATATAAAGTTCCCACCAATAATATAACTCTTTTATTGTAATTCGTGTTTCGACACGCTTTTGTTCATAAAGTAATCGTTGTTGTTTGATGAAAAGTAATATAAACACTTCTGCTCCTCACTATTGTTAAAGTTTGAAGTTAAAATGGCTCAGAAGCGTAAAAGATGTTCTTTATCGGTCGCAGAAAAGCGAATCATCATTAGTTATGTTGACCAAAATCTTATGACGAAAAAATTAAACATAGCTAATAAGTTCGGAATTCCCGCAAGTATATTGACTACAATTTTAAAATTTAAAGATAAGTTTTCAGAAGAAAGTGGTTTGAATGTCAACAGTAGTAATTTGATAAAAATGTGTTATCATTTATTAGTAGAAGTTGTTCGCTATAACAAGATATTTACGTAATGTTGAGGTAAATAAAACTAAGGGGGGCTGGATGCAAACAGGATTCCCAGCCCCCTGCCAGTCAGGCGAGGTCGAAGCGCCACTGGGTTATTTTAGTGGGTATACCAGGAATCCTTTCCCGGGGAGTCCCACATACACATGCGTAAAGCATTTTTTCCCAGTGCGCACAAAAAAAAAGTAAAACTATGTATTAGGTATTTTACCTTTTTATAACGAATTCTAGACCAACCTTACCTCAACATAACAAACCTCAGTTCAACGAATTACTTGATATAGCGAATATTATTTTGTTCCCCTCCGATTTTTTATATCGAGTTTGCACAGTGCATAATGTTTGTATCGCCATCACGTAGGAGTTAATACATTGATTTTGTTGAAACTTTACAGCTGTGTAGCTCACATGCCCGAATGAGACATAGGCTATAATTTCCGGCCTCACTCCACGCAGTGTCCGCGGGATCGTCTTATAACACTTATGGAGTATGATATCACGTGACGTAGGCAATACATGTCGCTCCCGGTTGTTGTGGTTATTATAACTATAGTTAAGTATAGACTTGTCTCTGAGCCTAACTCCGAGGTCGAACGGTTTCAGCTGAGTGTATATAATATAACACAGTGTGAGCGACTCACCGACAGCCCCGGCCACGTGCGGCGCCGCCATGGACGTGCCGTTCATGAGCTGGGAGTTCCTCAGAGTGAACCTGGGATCAAACATACGACATATGGTCACAAACACTTATGATGTACATGTGTGTCTATGTGTATGTGTGTGCGTGTGTGTGTGGTTGTATGTGCGTGTGTGTGTGTGTGGGTGTACCTGGCTACAGATGCGAGCGCGGCGCCGGGCGCGCAGACCGAGATGCCGAGCGCTCCGTCGCTGCAGGGCCCGCGGCTGCTCCAGCTGAAGGCGCCGGGCGAGCCTCGCGCGCGCATCGAGTACGCCGCTAACATCATCTCCGACGACACGTACGCGCCCACACCTATAACACATACACAACATCAACTAAAAGGAATAAATATTTTATCTTATATATAAAATTCTCGATTCTCGTTGTTAGATAGAGAACTCCTCCGAAACGGCTGGACTGATTTTGATGAAATTTTGTGAGCATATTGAGTAGGTCTGAGAATCGGCCAACATCTATTGTTCATACTTCTTAGTCATAAGGGTTGTTCACCCATATTTTTTATTTTTTGGACGAATTTTTTTGTTTTTATCAATTGATAAACAATACAACCTATAATATATACCTTCAACGCAAAATATTTACTTTTTTTATATCCAACCTCTATTTTTTGTATGGCAAAACAACGTTTGCCGGGTCAGCTAGTATTAATATAAAGATCTAAAATAAAAGTATCCTAAGTAGTAACATTACATCGGCTCTAGCCAGTTCAAGTGCAATTAAAATTGCATACGTGCCACAGATCATCCGGGACAAATATTATTTATCATTTTGCACCATATAAAAACATATATATGTTTTAATCTTCTTCTTCCTGGCAATTTCCTAGATTTAGCTTTGTTTTAATATACGGTGAAAATGCTTTCAAAATCAGTCCTTTCTATGAAGATTTAAAAACCTATATGTATACCTATGAGTATAGGTTGCGCGATGTCAGGCGGCGCACCGACCGTGGCCAGCGCCGGTCCGTGGTTCCCTCCGGACACGACCCACGACACGCCGTACTTGTTCACCACCATACTGATGATCTCCCCCACACGACTGACACACACACTTATATTACTAACACACAACAATACACACAATACAATAGTTACTCTATTGCTGTATATGAAATTGCTTTTAGCAAATTATACATATATGGTGTTATCAGAATTTAAAATACTTTTATTGTAAGTCTTTAAATATTAGAGGAAAGAAATTTATTTGAACTATTTGGATATGGACAAAAAGTAATCAATAGTAGTAATCAATCTTTTCCTGTGAGAAGAGGCCTTTGCTCAGCAGTGGGCGTCTGATAGGCTGATGATGATGAGGATTTATGTGTGCGTATATGTATGTATGTGTGTGTGTATACCCGGCGTTGGACCAGTGCGCGTGTTCCCCGTAGCTCATGTTGATGACGTCCACGCGGCTGGTGTCAGCCAGCTCCATGACCTTCACACAGGCCCGCACGAGCGCCGTGCCCGTCTCCATGGACCCCAGCCGACTGTCTCCTATAGTCAGTGATATAATCTTCGCCCCCGGCGCCACTCCGTTCCTTTCGGGGTCGTCGGGGAAGTAACCCGCCGCTATGGCCGCTACGTGGGTACCGTGGGTCGCTGAAAATGTGGTCAATATACATTATAATATGTTAGATTATTGAAAAAAATTAAGCTATACAATCAATACATATTATAAAGTTAAACCCCCCGTCGTGTCTGTATGTCTGTCTATTCGCAATAAACACAAAAAGTACTGCACCAATTAACAAGCGGTTTTCATCTTTCGATAGCGTGACTCTCGAGAACGATTTTAATATATAATTTGTTATGTTTTTGTATTTATTTGTGTGTACATTAACTTTCGGCGGGTAGGCGTGGAATAAAAAAGTCGTAAATTTTAAAGCTCTTAATTTATTGATAAATAAAATATAATATCAGTTTTAAAATCTAAACGTTATATGTATATGTGATCACTTACCAACTGCCAGCTACTGCAGCATCAAATAACAACTGTGACTTAACTATATACAACAAAGTAAGCTAAAATATTTTCACCTCTTATACACATCTATAACTATGGAGTCTATCAAGAACACAATAGAGGAACTCACTGCACTATTTAATACTAAAATGTCTGAATTCCAAAAAGAATTAAAGACCTCCATCCCAGCTACGAGCCCTGCATCGAATATTAACAGTCAGTTCAATTTATTTCGGTCATTTGTTCTGACAGCCCTAGAAAACTTACAACTACAAGTCGAATTCTTATCAAGACAATATGACCAGTTGGAAATGCATTCAAGGAAGAAAATTATTCTGTTGCATGGAATTGCTGAAGATTCTAAAGAGAATGTCGCTGTGCGTGCCTCAAAAAAACTTTAGCTGAACATTTGAATATTCCAAATATTAACCCCGACTCCTTTAGACATTGTCATCGTTTAGGGCATATGGTTACTACGAAGCCCCGTCCAGTATTGATAAAATTTAAAGACCAATCGGTCAAAGATAAGGTCTGGTCCACCAAGTCCAGTTTGAAAGGCTCCGGAATAACCATGTCCGAGTTTCTCACAAAGGGCCGCCACAGAACATTCCTGGCCGCTAGACAAAGGTTTGGGGTTGCAAAGTGTTGGACAAGGGACGGGATCATTATAGTCCTGTCTTCGGATGGCTCGCGGCATCGTATTACCACCATGGCGGAATTACAAGCTATTCAGAGTGCTGGGTGCGATTCCTCAGTCCCGCAGACGTCACCTAATGCCGAGGAAGCCCCCAAACCATCCAAAGGCATTAATCCTAGGCTTAAGAGGACTGTGAAAAAGCTAACATAAAGTTCTGAGCATTGATAGTCCGCCTCAGTATGTATTCGCGTCTTTGTTTGCATTTATTAACTTATTTCACTTTTCATACATTGACTTAGTTTACTTTTACCCACTTTTAACTAACAATAACAAAATAACTAAATAATATTGCACATAAATTATATTGTAATTGACATTTGACAGCTAACAGATTACATATAATTTTGTTTTTTTATATGCTGCGTTCGGAAATTGTTAGTCTAAGTGAGGTAAAGAATCCATTCAAACCCTTTTGTAACTTTGCTATGCAGGCTTGATGTTATATTGATAACATTTGCAAGCTATGTTGATAACTTTTATTAATTTAAATTTTTATTGGAAATTATTTTAACTTTCTTTATTTTTAGTTTTTATGTTTTTTTTCTCTGTGTTTTTGATTACTTGTATTTTTGTTATAGTGTTCCTTTTTGTATATGTTGTTTAAGTTGCCACTATAACTTTGTTTTTGTCATAGTTCATTCATTTTTCTCTTGCCATTTCATGTAGCTGGCGGGTTGGAGGATTGTTGGTGATTGCAATTTAATATTATAATTGTGTATTTTATTTTAATTTTATTTATTTATTTTTATTTATTTTATTTTTATTTTATTTATTTTATAATTATAGTCCATATATATTTGTTATGTCGTCTAATATTAGTATTGATAGTGATTACTTTTTGTCTTTGTCGTCGTCCGACGATTCGTTGAGTGATGCTAGTTACCACAGTACATCTCCTCCTCCACTTAATGTCGCCATAGATTCTTATTTCTCAGATTGCCTGAAAAATTTTAATATCATCCATATTAATGCTCAAAGTATACCGGCTCATTATCCTGATATGCTTGCGTCATTTGATTCCCATAATATTCACGCCATACTTATATCTGAGACATGGCTGCAGCCATGTCTGCCGTCTACATCTTACGCACTACCAGGTTTCAAGCTTATTCGCAACGACGGCATTGATAGGCGAGGGGGTGGGGTGGCGATCTATTTAAGATCCCACATCCCGTTCGCCATACTTAGTTCGTCATCCCCATCTGCTCAATTCGATGCGGCCGAACATTTATGTCTTGAAGTCTCACTTACCAACTGCATTAAAATCCTTCTTGGCGTGTATTATAACCCTAATTCTCAGAATAATTACTATTCTTCTTTTGAAACCCTATTAGATAATTTAACACCTAATTACAGCCATTCCATTATAATGGGTGATTTTAATACGTGCTTACTTAAAGGCGACACCAATAGTAAGAAATTAGTGGCTATAACAGAATCCCATAATATAAAAATTTTACCTCTATCGGCTACCCATTATTTCCCCGGCTGTTCTCCATCGCTTCTTGACCTTATTATGGTCTCTTCCCCAGATTTTGTTGCTAAATTCGGCCAATGTTCCGCCGATGCTTTTTCCTATCATGACATGATTTACCTCTCTTATAAACTCCGTCCTCCTAAATTTAAACCGAGAACACTTCTGCAGCGTAGTTTTGGTGGAATGGATCAAAGCCGTCTTTGTGATGATGCCGGTCATTTAGATTGGTCTGCGGTCTACACTGCTGAGACAATTGACCAAAAACTTAACGTGTTTAACTCCTTAATAACGCAGCTGTATGACAAACACGCACCTATAAAACCAATCAAAAGAAAACATCTTCCAGCACCTTGGTTGACGGACCAAATAAAATACCTTATAAAACAAAAGAATAAGGCCAAGTACAAATTTAAGTTAAATGACTCCGACTCTAACAGGGAGAAGTATATCAAAGCCCGAAATCGCTGCAATACATCTTGTAGAGATGCACAACGACGCCATATTTATCAATCTGTCGAAAACGGCGACACAGCTAAAACATGGAAATTTCTTGAATCACTTGGAGTTGGTAAATCTTCTCTTAATACTCCTGTTAATCTAGATATTGAACTTTTGAGTCAACACTTCTCATCTTCAAGCTTACTTAATAGTGGCGATAAAACAAACACATTAAATATTATTTCTACTTACCCAACTCCTGCCTTTCCTCCGTTTAGCTTCACGTCTTTTACTGAATGTGATGTTAAAAAGAACATTATGTCTATATCCTCGAATGCTGTTGGCACAGACTGTATTAGCCGTAATATGATCATTCCCATCCTTGACATTGTGATTCCCATTTTGACCCATATTTTAAATTTTTCCCTTACCTGCAGCAAGTTTCCTGATACATGGAAGGATGCGCAAATTATCCCCATCCCTAAAAAAGGTAATCCCTTAACAGCTTCTGATTACCGTCCCGTTTCAATTCTCCCTTTCCTATCCAAGGTCCTTGAAAAGCTCGTCTCACATCAACTAAATAGTTTCCTTAATGAGCATTCCCTTCTCAATCCTCTCCAATCAGGCTTCCGTGCAGGTCATAGTACGGCTACAGCTTTAGTTAAAGTCACAGACGACATTCGATTGGCCATGGATTCCAAACAACTCACAATCTTAGTGCTTCTTGATTTTAGTAACGCATTTAACTGCGTAGACCATGACATCTTGTTGAGTATGTTATGTTCTTTTAACATATCTCCATCCGTAAAAGACTGGCTTCAAAGTTACCTCAGTGGCAGAAGACAGCGAGTTCGTGTGGACGAAACATACTCGTCATGGCGCGAAGTCCGCGCTGGGGTACCTCAAGGTGGCGTGTTGTCTCCGTTACTTTTCTCAATTTTCATTAATTCAATTGCTCATGTCATCTCTTCTCTCTACCATATGTATGCAGACGATGTCCAAATTTACCGACACTCAACCCTTGATAGATTATCTGACGCCGTCGCTGCCATCAACAATGATTTGTCGGCTATTCATAAATGGAGTCAACAGTATGGGCTTAACATCAATCCCGCAAAGTCACAGGTCATTGTTGTTGGCAGTTCAGCCATGATGGCAAGGGTTGATTGGGCGGAGATGCCACGGGTTGTGTACAATGGTACTAACTTGTCCTACAGCTCCAATGTTAGAGACCTTGGTATACAGCTTGATAGTACTCTCTCATGGTCGGAGCATTTAAAGAATATTGGAAAAAAAACATACGCCTCGTTAAGTTCGTTGCGACGACTACAAAACTTACTGCCAATTCCTACTAAAACTATGCTTGCAAACTCTCTCCTTCTTTCAATTCTCGATTACGCGGACGCAAGCTATCTTAATCTTACCGAGGACCAACTTAATTATCTTGAGCGATTACAAAATCTAGCTATTCGGTTTATTTTCGGTCTCCGAAAGTATGACCACGTTTCAGAGTTTCGTTCAAAGCTCAAGTGGCTCCCTATACGCCGTCGCCGGAACCTGCATACTCTTTCTCTTCTGTACTGTGTGTTATTTAATCCAAATGCTCCTCAATATCTAAAGGAGAAGTTCGAATTTGTAGGAGATCAGGCCAGTATGCGACCAGCACGTAGGCTCATTCTGAAAATGCCTGCTCACAACAGTAAATATTACAGAAAGTCGTTCACTGTTCAGGCAATAACTCTCTGGAATGACCTACCATTGAGCATTCGACAGTCTAAAACCCTATATGCTTTTAAAAAATCCTTAAAGAACCTATATCTCTCATCAGAGTAATGACGACGACATGATTATGACAAATGTATGTATTATGTATTTATATGTTAGTATGTATGTATGTATTTATACGTATTTGTATGTATGAATCTAAGTATGTATGTAGGTATGTATGTATGTATTTATTGATATATGTACGTATGTATATTATTGAATATTTATTACTGCTATTTATTTTTGTATGTGTTTAGGTTATATATTTATTTTAAGAATATCTAATGTACCACCCTATACTGTCTCCAAACACAATCCTCTGACCCCAGGTTGCCTGGAAGAAATGGCTAATAAGCCATAAGGCCGCCTTTTGTTATACCGTTTGTTTTAAGTTTGTATTTTTTTTTTTTTTTGTAATTGTCTGTATTGAGACTGTGGTGTACAAAAAAGTATTAAATAAATAAATAAATATTTGTTGAAGATGTTATGAAAAAATGAGCCGTCTCAACTTTTAACGAAAACGCTGCCAAAACCCTTTGAGATATAACAAGACAATGTATAGTGGAATTGTGTATCTTGTATAGGTCTACAGAAAAGTCTGCGATGACATATGTCTATCTCTTAAGAATAACATACCATATCCATTTTACTACTTTTATAAATTGCCATTCATGATGCGTTTATAAGAAAGCTATTTCCATAATTACAGTGTTAAGTTTTATCAAAATAAATTACTTCGTGTTCAAGCCTACATCAGTATTTATAAATTACTTTTTGAATATAAAATTTTTGTAATTTTATTATATAAAAAAACTATTATTAACATAAAAATATATCGTTTGTTAAGTTCAAAATTGAAATATGTTTAACGAAGAAAGATTTTCGTTTATCTTGATTTAACTCAAAAAGGAAGTACATACGCAACATAGGCTATTTTATATTTTTGGCAAAGTACCCCTGCGACGCTGGGGCGGGTGTCTAGTTTCATCTTATTCCTGGCAATTTCCCACCTTATCTTTTTAATTCTTCTGTGAGTGTGTATGTCCCTGAACTTTTCTCAAAAGACTGGACCGATTTTGATGAATTTTTTTGTGTCTGTTCAAGGAGATCTGGGAATGGTTTAGATTCACAATTTTGTCCGCTGGACAAAGTTTTTTTAATTTATTAGTAGTTGTTGATACAAACGTTATTTTTTGACATTAGATTTGACAACTAACTAATATGTAAATCATTCTGTCGCACTTCAAAATAATTTTTTTTATTTATATTTTTGGAGTTTACCTATAAAACCCATAAAGCTCCGTGTTTTGAAGTGCGACAGAATGATTTACATATTAGTTAGAAACGTTACAGATATTTCTTGATTATAGGGCGATACGAAGTTCGCCGGGTCATCTAGTATATATGTATATATGGTTGTGTTCTTTATGTAGTGAACTACGTTTTCATGTTTATCCATATTTAAAAATATTATTGATACTACAACATCTCACTAAGAAGACTTTATGAAGAAACTCATTATAGAGGACCAATAATATGTATATACTCACAACACATGCCGACCACTTCGAGCGTGTCTCCATTGTTGTGTACGTTCACACTGACCGTCATCTCGTCTAGAGGCGTGAGGTGCGCGTGTTCGTGAGTCACGCTGTACTCGCCCAGCAACACGCCCGACGATAAGTCGCCTTCCTCGGACGTGTCGATGCATGCTCTGACAATGAATAATAATTAATATATAAAATTGCACATACTGAATGATTTTTACTTTGTATCGGTATGATAAAACTAGTGAAAAATGAACAACCTGTAACTATTGTTCCTCTATAGATAACTAGCTTTCCGTCCGCAGCTTCACTCGCGTGGAGTTCGGTTATATCGCGTTTCCAAGAGAACCTTTCAAGAGTCTGGGATAAAAACTATCCTGTTCTTTACCAAGGTCAACTCTATGTCTGTACCAAATTTCATTAAAATCAGTTCAGTGGATTAGGCGTGAAAGCGTAACAGACAGACAGACATACAGAGTTATTTTCGCATTTATAATATTAGTAGGGATTCTATACCTCTCTATGACCATACATTCCCTACCCCTGTATATATATTCTATCACCCTGTATCTCCCTACCTCCACACCGTTCCGTCGTGGTACAGCACACAGTCGTACGTGGGTCCCACGTCTGTATATTTCTTGTCAAGTTCCTTCAACACCTCCACTCTGGCTTCCAGCTCTTCCTTCATTTGCTTCTCCTCTTGACTCAAGGTGGTTTTTGAAGCTGCAAACATTATATATTACATCAGGAGACGAAATAAGGTCTAGTACAATCTAAAGCAGCTTAGTCTAAGTTTATTCTCTATGCCTAGAATTCCGCAATACAACTGTAGTATTCCTAAAGAATTTAAAAGAAATCTCAACAGTCCGGAAGCAGCGCATCATGAGAATCCACTCAGCCGAACTTAGTCGCCTCTTATAATTTTACTATGCCGCCACTGCAAACCTTTTCCCTATTTGTGAGCGAGCAGTTTTGATGAAAGCTGCCTATAAGATTAGACGCTATAATTTTAAACAAGCTATTTTGGCTCTAATATGCAAAAACGTAGGTGTCGAGAAAGTTTACACCGCTTTTTTTTGTACTTCTTTTATTTGTGTAATTGTTATGAAACATTTGCACCCCGTTCACGATCTAGCCGCAGTGAGCGGCGGCTGAACTAGGCGGAGACCGGTAAAAAGAAAATGTTTGAAGCACGCAACAATAGTCACCTCAACGAAAACGAGAGAAGTTTTGTTAGAGCGACAATCTCTTATGGTTGATGTCTTTGAAAAACTTAATGAATATTCTTATAATTGCAAGGTCAAAGGACACCAGTGTTTCATGCCTGGACCAGGAAAATTTGCTTTCAAAAGAAAATTAGATTTTTGGTTTATTTGTGTTGGGTAGAGACAAATGAAAGCTTTACATCACTCAGTGAGTTTGCTAGCAGTAAGGACTTAGAAAAGTTTCAAGATGATGTATTTGAAGAATAAATAGTCTGGTATTAAAAAAATTAAAGGAATTATAGAGAAAAAATAAAAAATATTGTTTTATTTAAGTTTTGTCAAGTATTTCGCTTTGCAAAGGTTCTGGTTCTGTCAACAAAAAAGATTGTGAACCACCGATCTAAAGATTTTACTTTTACTTGTTTTTGAGAATGAAGCACAAAAAAATACGGATTACTATATACATTGGACCCCCGGTAATCCGGCCCCTGTCTAATCCAGCACACCCTGTAATCCCACATGATCTATTATTTATTATTGAATACATAATATTTTGTATTCGCTAATGCATGATTGAACAAGTTACAACTTGTACGCACCATCACTACATATTGTGTTCAACGCGTATTGTTTTGATTCTGATTGCTTAGTTGGAATTTGAATTTGTACTTCAGAGTACATATAAGTACGTATGTATAATATGTAAATAATCTTATCATTGAATCTGTAATTTGTCGGATTACAAGGTACTCTTTTGTAAAAAAATCTGGACTATAGGGGTCTTAAGCAGTACTCTACAATCTGACGAATTTGTTAGTTCGACACTGCCCGGCAAAATGTTTGTCGGACTACCGGGGGTCCACTGTATAACTATAACTTTGTTTTAAAGTAATTTTTAGTTGCACTAAAATAATATAATATTATATACTTACAAACTTCATTTTCAAAATCCTGCAAGTCTTTAGTGGCCTTAGCCATAGCAGGTTTCTGTCCAACATCCCACAAGTGTTCCTTGCGGTGTTCTTGGATCCTCTCCTTCACCTTTGTTGGATATAAACTAAATGGATAAACAACACCTATACGCCATTCACCCTTTGGATTGTCCCATGTTTCTGGAATCTAGACCAAAATAAAAGAAATTACTGTATAATCAAGTGAAAATTATAAAATTTGACAAAAATATATATTAAAATTGATTTCACTGAGCTTAATTAATTTTTTAAGTTCAATTATTAGTATAGCAAATACTTTTGATTAAAAAATAATATGTCTTAATTCATAAAGTGCAAATAAATATGCAAATTAAATATGAGATTTTGTACCAAGATAAAGATGATAATTTCAAGGTGATACCATTATATTAAACTAAAAATAGTTTCTTTCATCAAATATCAACATAGCAACATTTTAGGTATAAAAAAAATGACACAGAACAGCTGTAATTTGACAAAGTCAATGACCTTGTGACTTTGATCGAAAATGAGTGCAAGGAACTCGAGATGTGAGGATAGAGGATTCGAGCAGAGCCTGGTTAATATATTATGTTATAGTTACCTTTAATTTACGTCCAGTAATGCCGGTTATGTATCCATCCACTACTTTTTTCACCACCGTGCTCGTGTCCACATCACCACAACCACTGCAGTCGTACCTCTCGATAACTTTAGTCTCTCCTGTACTAGTAACCTAATAAATTATAAGTTAAATGCAATTCGTCATTAACAAGTATCGAAAAAACTGCAACTAAACAAACCATGACAAGCCAAAATTTACCTTAAGACCCTCTGCGGCGGGATCCACGCCCGAGTCTAATATAGCAATAACTGTGTTCCTGCCATCATATTCAGGATATTTATTTAAAAATGAGACGACCCCTGTTTCTCTTTTAGGCATTAATCCCCAAACAGGGAATTCACAATCGATCGGTACGTCTGCCATTTTTGATGACCGTATACTACCTGATGTACTACAGTGTACAGATTACAGATAAAACATCAACAGAAGATTTGACAACTACATGACATATCAATTAGACGTACGTAGTGTAGTAATATGTGAAATATTTTTCTAATTCAATATTCGTTTTATTTATCTTGCATTTTTATTATACTATAAACATTTAAAAAAAACGAATTAATAAAGTTTAATAAATATTACACTTGTTTAGAATCCTCAATACGAAACTTATATAGAAAAAATAAATAAAATCCATTATTTATTTAAAAAACACTTAAAACGTAGTACCTCTGGTAATAATATAACTATGAAGCAACTGCAACTGCCTTGTAATAGAAGAATTGAAAGAGATCAAATATTGTTATACAAGATACTGAACAATGGAATCGACTCCAGTTACCTTCTCTCTAGATTGAATCTTAACTGTCCTAGATTAAATTCTAGAAGTAAACCTATTTTAAATATACCGTATACCCACACCAAATTTGCAAGAAATATTATTAGTAGTGCTAAACAACATAACAAGATGTTCTTTAAACTGGATATGTTTCATCTCTCTCTCCGTCAATATAAATCTCCTGTAAAATATTTATTGAATGAATCTGAATGATATTAAAGACAACTATATATTGCAATAATTTTGAATTTAAAGTTTTAATTTTAATATTTATATGTTTAATAATTTAATTATTTGATAATGTATAATAATTTATAATAGTAATCATTATTATGCTTTCTACACTCTGAAAGTTATTTATGTATAGTTTGTCATAGATAGAAACTGTTTTGGTTTAATGTTTAATTATTTACAACATTTATAATTATTAATAGTACTGTTTGTTTCCAAAATATAAATAAAATAAAATATAAAAATTACAGTATCATACTATCTAATACTGATCTGTATCCATTTTAAATGCGCAATCTGTATCGAATTACTGCCAAAAATGTATTGACATATGACGTTCTATCATAAAATCTGCCTATCTACTTTTAAACTTTAAAATAAAGTGAACTTCTAAATTTATTTGCCAAAATGTGGTATGAAATTATTCCTTCTTTTATGATCATCACGGCGGCCTTTGGAATACCTGGTTGGGGGTTATATCATATTCACAATTTGACTTTGGGCAATGTAAGTTTCTATATATCCCTTATTAGATAACCACTGCGGGAAAAAATTGATGTCAAATGTTAATAATATTTTCATGTAATGTCAAATGTTATACAGGAAGGTATACTGTAACGGTGATTATGTTATATTTTAACAATGAAATGTTCTAATGGGTATGTGATTCTATTCTAAATAGGTATTCCCAAGTATTACATATTCCAAGTATTTAGTGATTATAGACTAAAACTGTAAACAAAAATCAGTAGCATTATAAAGTATATACTGTATTGATAAATTTACATGCAAAGTAATAAACAATTCTCATTTTAGTAAATATATTTGTATTCTACCTAAGTAGTTAAATCAATAATTAGTTACTATATTTCAGTATGTATAAGTAGTTTCTTTATCAATGTGTTATGTACACAGCACTTCAGACGTTCCCTGCACAGTCGGTGGGATCGGCACATGTACCAGAGGGATTTGAGGCTCACTGGCAATCCATACAATATTAATGTAAGTTAAAATAATTATATACTTCAATTATACAATAAAAAGACATACATTATCTACATATTTTAATATTATTCTGTTAAAACATATTTTAATTTTATAATGACAGTGAATAAGGAAAAGTTGGAATTAAATTTACAAATGCTGTCTTTGCTATGCTATGCAGCTTTCAAGGCTTTCACATCTCATCTGCCCATGATCATGGTTGCTGCAAAGTAACCAAAACCTCGGGAATATGTTGTCTAAAATAATAAAATACTGCATGTAATATGAAAATATTAGTTTTATTTACAAATGCTTTCTATGAATTTAGTTTTCAAGAATTTTAAATGTAAATTTTTCTGTTCCAGGGACTGGACAGTCTGCCAGATAAATAAATGCAAAGTCATGGTGACTGGATTGTAAAATAAAATATGAAATATAGCATGTTAAGTTAGATATTTTGTTTTTAATTTTTTTTTAACCCAATAATATGAGAAAATCATGAATTATTATGTATATTTTGACAAATTTGCAGTCATGGTTTTCAATAATTAATTAAAAGATTTCAAATATTATCTTAATGTGAACTATAACTTATCAGAGAGTTCTTCAATATAGTTCAGCGCCATAAATTAATAAACAATATTGGCATTGTAAATGCATAATGTTAATTTTTTTCTCAAGAATTAATTTATTTAAGTTATGCAATATATGCTGGCAGTGTCGTGAAGAATGGGGGATATAGGGAAATAAAATTTAACGGCCTCGACTGAAGTCACAATTAGGAACTTTCTTAGTAGATCTAAAACAAAACAAAATCAATTAGATGCAAACATAGGAAAAGTGATTAAATATTATCTGTCTATTACATATTGACTTTGACATAAATAGTTATTGACAGTTTGACTTTGACATATTTACTCGTTGCCGGTATAAAATTTGCATTGTTAATTTTAATTGTCATGTTTCTGATTTCAAAAATTAATTAAAGGTTAAATGCCACAAATATATGAATATGGATAGTTGTTTTGTAGATATCATAACAGAATTCTTAGGAGTTGCGTTTCATTGTATTTTGTACTATACATCAATTTATCCCAAGAGTATATTTGAAACGAGAAAGAAATATAATATTGTAGTTTACCGATCTCGTCATCCTGAAGTAAACCAGTATATTGATTTATGTTTGAAAAACATCTCGGAATGCTTGAAACTCGGCCACTTAAAACGTGTAGAGTTTTCAGTAACAGATAACGCTTACAAACCAGTATTGAGATTTGTTTTCGACTTCGATCACTTGGATAGCTATAATGATACTACTGATGCTTACTTGATTGCGACTGAGCAAAATTTACGAGGATTTTGCCTTCGGTTAGCTGCTTCAAGTGAAAAGTTCACCAAAATTGCAGAAGATGCTAGTTTCACTATCTATATACACACAAATGAATCATCAGCTATTGCCATTGCAAGCAATCCAGAATTAGAAGATTTTCCTCTTGTGGAAGTTGAAGAGAAAGTAAATGAATCAAACAATATTCTACCAATAAGGAGATTCTCAGTTAGAAATTATAATATAGACACATATGTAGAGATAAGTTGATATTTATTTTTATAAAAGTTGTTTTATTGTAAAATACAAATGTATAAAGCATTAAAAAATATATTGTTATGTATATAATTAAAAATATATTGTCATTAGTACATGTAATATGTCATGTAGTGTATTTAAGAAGTATTCTCAGGATATAGTTTTACTTTTAAACATCTGAGTCTTGAGTATATTTCATCCCAATCCACATAAGCTCCTATCAGTTTCCTTACATTTTCAGCGGAGTCTTCATACTTGTTCCTGCCGTGTAATAACCTTATGTTGTCAAAAGTTAGAATATCACCAGATTTTGTCTTAAAGTTTGCAGAAAATTTTGTATTCAGTTCAAAGAACATTGAGTGAGCTTCATACCATGGTTTGACTAGTTCAATAGGTATTGGTAGATGGCTACCTCTCTGAGGTATAGAAAAGTTAATCCTGATTATGTCTCCGTACTTGTCGGTACAAATAACTGGACCTCTATGCAGTTTGTAGAACTCATTCCCTTGCTCAGTTCCTATGTCGCTCCACTCTACTTCCACTTCTGTTAATAATTTATATGCATCTGGATGGTTTTGTTTAATGTATCTGGCAGTATAATGACAGTCTGATAGTAAGTTTTCTCCTCCTTTGCTATTGGTCTGGACTAGACAGTGAAGTAAATTTGCTCCTGGACAGTATTCATAATATGGAAGGTCTGTGTGCAACTGTAGAGCACTTGATAGATATGCAACATTGTTAGTGTTTGGAACATTTTGAACGATGAAGTTATGTCCATAGTGTGTCCTCTTTTTAAACCCTATCCTATCAACAATAGCTTCCATGGAATGTTCAGAAGATGGTGTGTTTTCTATGAGAGCCACTCCATATGTTGATAAATTATATAACCAGTTATAAAGAGCCTCATCCGTTTCTACTATTGCTTTGTAGTCGTGTTTAGTGCAAATTTTACTAAATTCTTCACCATGCCAAACAATTTTATCAGGTTTATAGATGTAGCTGTCGTAATACTGTTGTTTATCACGGTTAAAACTTCGGAACAGTAACCAGTTCGTGGTATATTCAGATATGTGGCCATCATCCCAAGTGATTCTCACGGAATTTTCATCTTTCGCGACATCTTTCGGGAAGCTGTTCAAGTTGAATTTGCTCCAATCAATAATCCGGCTTTGAGCATTTTTATGGAAACATTGGTCGCACTGGCAGTTATCCCTTAACCAGACGTGAGGGAACGAATAAGTTTCGCCGCGAATATTTAAATCTAATATATCTCCCCTAGTTTTGCTCGTTACATCGTTAGAATAAAACTTATTTATCACATTTTTCACATAAACAGTATTTCTAAAATAATGGTTGCTAGTATATAACCGTCTGAGAATCATGACTTACGTCCAATGACTCTAAGACCGAAGTTGAAAAGCGAAGGGTCAATAACTTTAAACTTTATAATATGATAAAAACCCGCCATATTCAAATGAACTTTAATACATAGTGATTAAAGTGACGTAACGATTATGTTTATTTGAATTTAATGAAGGTTATCAAATTATTAACAAGATAAAATTAAATGAGTGAAATATCTAATTAGGTTCCTTAGTTTTTTGTTTTGTTTTGCAATAGTAGAGATATATCGAGCTATGAAACTGTAACACTTAATGTATTGTCATCATGAACAAGGTAAAAAGTATATTAGTTTCCGACAAGTAATTTTATAATATTTCTTATTCTCTTTTGAGTTAGAGAAGCAGTAAGTAATCTGGTCTATTTCAAGAAAGTGGCCACTGCAACAGAATGATGGATAGATAGCATTAAACGATTAAAAATAGTATGTATAATGAAAAGATGTCAAAGGGACCCTGAGTTGTCCCGCCCTGGGAGGGACGAGGGACGGGATTGACGCAAGGATGAGGAAAAATGAAAAGATGTTTAACATGACCTCTAATTTATATTGTGTGTGTAGAATAAGCTTGTGTATACCTAAGTTAAACATTTTAACTAAAAGATTTGCTACTACGAGTATGAGGTGAAATAATATTTTTATGAGATACTTTACCTGTGTCTTGAATAATAATCAATCATAATAATAGTCATGAAATCTCATATATGTCATCAATGGATTTTTAATATCGGTTGGTTGTATTAAAGTTATACCATTTTCAAACGGAAGATAAAATTAAGAGTTCTTAATCACTTGGGATGGTTGCCTTAAGTTTCCATTTTTGAGTCTCTATCTTTTAAACATACAAAATATACAGGGTGACTGGTGAATTACTATCGATATTTGAGGACGTGATATTTGACGATCATATATGACAAAATAAAAATTAATATAACATAAATATTAATAAACTTCTAAGTAAAGTTAACCAAAAGTTATGTCATTAATAACGCATCGTGTGAACACCCTACAGATTAGGTATACACTGACACTCACACATACGCGTGTCGTGACGTGGTGTTGTATCAGCACGCGGACGCACGCGTCCACACTTGAACACTTGGAACGTGTCAACACTTTACTTATATATACGGAAATTTTGTCAAAAATTAAGTGCCTACTTTTTTTACATAATTCGAATGAGAATCATGTACCGAGTATTCTCCTTAAATATTGATAGTAATTCACCAGTCACCCTGTATGGGTACTTAGAATATTACTAGACACTATATAGTCAAATAATAAATCTTTAGTGTTTTCTAATTATACGATTATTTCTGGAGTAACATTTATCTAAAAGTAAGTTTAAAGAAGTTATCAGTCGTTTCTAGTAATTATTTGCGAGACGACTGAAGAAATAGTAAGTAGTAAAAGACTAGCTGTGCCTACGACTTCGTTCGCGTGGAATAGTTATTTATGACATCGTACCTATTTATTTTTGCAAACAACCTCAGTTTTATAAATTAATATCTCTTACCCACGATTTTGTCCGCGTCAATTCCTGTTAATATTTTAGAAAATTTAGTTTTGAAGTTTTTTAAAAAACGTAATTACTTTGTTTATTATTATGTTCACAATTAAATACTCTTAATCAACAACACATTTATTTTTCTAAAGATTAATATTATGTAGATACAACTTTAACAAATAACTGGTGACTATGCACTAAAATCGACCAAATTTGATTACCACAAAAACCGTTCTGGTAAGTTTATCTTAAAAGATAGACATATACCATCGCGGACGTTTTTTAGATCATTTCGAGAGAATTTATTCTTTGAAACATATTTTTTTTGGTATCTTAAAACGTTTTCGCATCGCACGCAACGGAAGCCCTCAAAGTTGAATATTTTTCCCTGGTTTTTCCTTTTTTCTTAACTCTTATTAATCGTAGCGTAATATTATTCAGCCTAGAGTCCACGATAAATGGTCTATTCAACTCCAAAAGAATTGTTCCATTTGGAACCGATAGTTTCTGAGATAAGCGCTTTCAAACAAACAAACTCTTACCTTTATAGTATTAGTATAGATTATATATTTTATTGTGATTTTGAGACTTATAACTGGAAAACCATGTAACGAACGTAAAATAATAATTTAGAACCTTCAGCTTTACAGAAGTAATATTCCCCTTAATATTTAATTTTTGTTACCAACATAAATATGTCTAATGCAGCCCTAAGCTGCAACAATATGTAAATTTATTGTAAATAACTGAGAGCAAAATTTTAAGAAATATTTTGTAAAATTAAATTTTGTAGTCTAAAAAGGGCATGGACCCTAGAGTTCATGGTGTAATAAATAAATAAATATACAGGGTGACTGGTGAATTACTATCAATATTTAAGGATATACTACATGATTCTCACGAATAAAAAAAAATATGAGTATAAATAAATAAAGTGTTGAATCAAGTTTCTAAGTGTGGACGCGTGCGGCGGCGTGCTGATACAACACTACGCCGCCGCCGCGTCTGTGTGAGTTGTGTGTATATCTAATCTGTAGGGCAGACGTAATTAATTACATAACAGGATTTTTATGTTATATTCTATTGGAACAATCGACTTATCGAATTTCACCAGTCACCTGTATATATTTTAAGGATATAATAAATTACATAAAAATATTCGTGTTCTGGTTAAATAAATCGACTTGAATTTAATTCATTCGTGTTCTGGTTAAATAAATATGTTATTGTATAAAAATATATATTTCTATCAAAATTATATAAATATCACCATCTCTGTTCATGAAACTATACTATGTATTTTGAGGAGTTATTTGAGTAATCTTTATTTTCATCAAGATTTATGGTTCCTCCTCTATATATTAAATATATCGTCGGTATCAGTAACTCTTTGATCATTGTTGTACGTTAACTTTTATTTTATGATACGCGTTACTGAGGATTCCACGGATGTTCCAGATGTCTCTGAAGTTCTCCGGTTGAGAGTTGAAGTTGCTATCGGTGGCTTTCACCCATATCTCCATCTGAAATACGTTTATCACTTTAGATAGATAACTGTCGAGTGGCAACACTGTCTCTCTCTCTCTCTCTCTCACACACACGCACCTGTGGTCCGCTGGCCGGCAGGTCTACATCCCACAGTGTCCATGAGTAGTGTTCCCTGGGCGGAGCGCTATCACTCCTCAGCCTCGCCTCGCGCCACGTGGCGCCGCGGTCCGTGCTCACCTCCACGCGCACGATCTTAGCCCCGCCGCCCGAGTACGCGTACCCTAACATACAGATAGATATAGACAGGTCGGAGTGACAGTGAGCGACGCAGGACACACGTACCTTGCACGTGCAGCGCTCCCTTATGTGGGCGCACTGTGTCGCCGTCCTCGGGCGAGCACACGGCCGAGGTGACGGGCAGGCTGTATACGGGCGGAGCGGACGGGAAGTCAGCCGTCTCCCACGACACGCTCGGACCGAACGAGCGGTAGTCACGCTGGTGCCAGTGGGACGGACTCTCCTCCGACGACACCTTGATACACTCTGGAACAGATACACGCCGAAGGTGTTGTGACTGACATGTTGACGTCACCTCCGCACCACACGCTAGTGTCACTTGTTATGGATGAGGTGGTGGACACTAGCCGACAATAATACTATAACATGCGAAGATTTATGAAGGAAAATCTGCTAACGTTACGTATGGGACGATTTTAGCTTAGAGCAAGTAAATTACGTAATAGTTACTAACGCAGCCACTTGACGCTCCTGACGGCGGGCGCCCCGGGGACCACGACCCTCAGCGGGTGTCCGTGGTCCTTGGTGAGAGGCGCGCCGTTCATGGACGTGGCCAGTAACACGCGGGCTCGCTCGTCCAGGGCGTGAGAGAGAGGGATGGACGTACTGAAGTAGGTACCAGTCGCGTCCATGTCCGCACCCATCAGCTACACACATTAAATATAAGGAATTATGACATTTTCAATATTTATTTGATATTTATCGGAACGATGGTGAGAAAATATTCATTTATATGATGCCAATTACACAGTTATCCTGAGCAGTCTAATGAATGAGTGATAAAATTAACACTTCTGATGATGCGAGTCATGAGCGCCACTATATTGGCCTTCACTGCTCTACCGACTTACTTTATCCTTACTTTGAGGTCGATCGTAATGTGAAGGTAAAAAAAAAAGGTTTACAATAAGTTTGTCTTCAGAAGATCAAAATCATCAGTCCTTACAAGATCACCAAAGATTTATTAAAGTTTATCAATGCCAAAGTTTATTTTATATAAGAACTATAATACGTTCTACTCATGTATAATTCAATCTCTTGTCTCTCTGTGTGTGTGTGTGTGTTGTGTGTACCGTGACGTGTTTCCCGTCCGTGTCCTCTTGGTTCACGCCGGCCGCCAGCAGCACGTCTCTCAGTAGCACGCCGCCCCACACCGCGTTCCCGATGGCGCCGGTCCGCCACGACAGACCCTTCACCGGCTTCACCTGCAATATACAAACATATCATCAGTACTCTTAAATACATCAAAACCTTTTATTTTTCTCATTAACTTGAAGAACTGGGTAATTTTAACATTTTCTTTAGTTTCTTATACAATTTCTAGTTTAAACAAATGTTCTCCTCTACAAGAGTCGAGAAGAAAAAGTACTAAGTTGAAAGACTGATTGATTTCGTACGGACCTTTTTACTCACATCCTTTGAATTTGTACGAACCTGGAATGTTCTGGTCTTTGTTGCACTCGTCGCGTGATAGGCCAGAACATTTCAGATAATGAGATCTAAGATTTTCTCGAGTACTCATTTGGATGAAACTAATATTTTCGGATTTTACTTCGCGTTTAATTTTTGAATAGAAACTACATACTCCCGACGTTTCGGCTACTGATCACGGACAGACGAGATCTGATCACGGTTGCTGAAAAGTAGCCGAAACGTCGGGAGTATGTAGTTTCTAATCAAAAATAAAACGCGAAGTAAAATCCGAAAATATTAGTTTCATTCAGAACATTTCAGGTTCCAATATCTACCACCAGTATATGTGTTCCTATGTGTCTTTGTCTCATACTCGTTCATCTCCGACCTCCTGTTTCCGGCACACATGAGCGCCGCCCGCACCTCCCTCCTCGGGAACCTGTTCAGTTCCTCTAAGGACAGTTCTATCAGCCGCCCCCTCCCCCCACCCTGCGCCTCTCCCTCCACCGTCACCCTCAGCCTGTGATAGTCACCGTCTATATCGGGAACCGGCATGTGTTGGCGGACGTAGAACAGCTCACTGGGGATCAGTTATGTAACATCGATTACAGTTTATAAGCTTAAATCTTGTAACAAGGTCTGTAGTTATATACATGGAACATCTATAGGCCCTTTCCCTTTTCCCACCCTTTCGTTTTCCCCAATCAAGGGCCTCAACATATCCGAAAATCTACATTGCGGATGTCTATGGGCGACAGTACTACCTGCATCAGGTAGGCCGTCTGCTCGCTTGCCCCCTTTTCCCATATATATATGTAGTGTAACTCACGCCGGTGTGTCGAAAGTATCCGCACTTGTTCAGCGGGCGGCGTTTCAGCGTTGAACGGTCTGGCTGTCTTCACACACAGTCTCCTGTCTCTGAACGGTTCCTTGGCCCACATCTCTTCGTCTGAGTGATCCACTAGGTCGTCCTCGTGAAGATTACCTGGTTTTTAAAAAGATACGTTAGTTAGTCAATACGTTTTAATCATTTACTATAGGAAGTTATGTAACTTCCAGAGCAGATTCGCTAATAGTCCAAACAAAAAACATATTTCTGGCTTCATATTTATCTATAAATGCAACCAAACAGTAAAAAGTATTAACGAGAGATGTTAATTTTACATGTTTACATAATACTTCTTGTTAGCAACCAAAACTACTTGAATATAAAAATTATTGCATTTCACTTAACAGATGCCAACTATTTCAGTACTACACCATACATGTGATGTATTGAAGTACTTCCAAATAAATTGCTACTTCTATCCAAATTTTTAGTCCCAGTGTGTTTCAAGCCTATTGTCATATGTCAATACTGACCTATCCTGTAGCTCTCTAGTAGTTCATAGATCTCCTTAGTCTTGTGCATGCCATACACATTCCAGAATGGCTCTACACTGAGGCCGGCCGCATTGTATATTTGTTCACCGCCGGGGTGAGACGGCAGGAATGACGTTACATCATACACTCCTTGCTTGTATGTCACCCAGAAACTCCTCCTACATGGAGATAATGTAAAAATTATTTTAATACTACTTTACAGATATTCCCAAATATTGCATATGTTATGTTTTAGTTATACTTGGTGGGTATTTTTAAATATGATGTCAAGTATAATGTAGGAAGATCACTTGAATATATTATATGATTCCAACAAATTATATATAAGTAATAACAAATTGACACTATATAGAAAACTTTGAGGTGTCTTAGAAGCCTGATGTCTAGTACTGAATCAAGTTAGGAAAACTTTGCTTTTAATAGAAAATTCTACTAGATGGTTAACTATGTTATATTACATTATCACCAATACTAAAACCTAGTATTGAATTTTATGTACCCTCTTGTATGTAAATATATTATGTATATTTAACTATATTTCAGGAATAATCCAGTATGTATGATATTTATTTCAATGTATAATGATCATGTGTAAGCAGCCTCTTACTCATTATTATGTTGACTGACTTCCTCGGCCCTGTAGGTCGGTAGATCTGGTCGTTTAGCTCCGGCCTGCTGGTGCTCACTCTCATTTTGTTCATTTTTATTATCTTTATTCTCTGTGAATGAGGAAGATTGTTTTGTTTGTCAGGATAAGATAACTTAATCAATTACATAACATTTTTATAATGAAAAATTAATATATATTTTGATACACTTACTTTATTAAATGCTGCAAAAAATAGTGTTAATTTTAAGTTATCTTCAATTATATGAATATGTCTCAAAATGTATTACTTTATAATTGTCGCTTAGTTCAAAGTAAGGAATATATAATATTTCATTCTATAACATAAAGTAATTTGATAAGTGAACTAAATAATATTAAATTGTATATAGATGGAATTAAATAGTAATAACATATATATGTTAATATATTTAGAATGTACCTGTCAGTTGTGTGCCTAGTATGAGGGAAGCTAGAAGTCCTACAGAAATATTTTCATTCTTCCAACTTCTATTTGAATACCCGTCCTCATATTTTTTCTGACTTTGAATTATACACGGTGTAAAATGGAAAACTTTCCTCTGTCGGAATAAATTCCTAAACAGGGAAATATTTTAGAATTATTGACGAGCATCAAATGTACTGTAAATTTTCAATAAATTCAACTAAATAAAATTTTAAAGAATTTTGTTTTTGTGGCGGCACGATATTTAAAACATTACCGTAATAAAATTGTCCTCAATGACATTATTTCGACTTTTTGAAGACACTTAATTCCTACGACTAACTTGTGACCGTGGCAAATTATCTTATCATTTGTTTATGTTGATTGTAAAAATGACGATATTTTGTTCGCCAATCTCATGTTTAAGAAATCAATTATGAACAATTCGACAAAAACATATTGTATGTAACTACACTCTGTGGATACTGTTTTTTACAATTTGACATTGATGGACATCAACATTGACAGGAAATACGTTTGGATACAACATTGTATAGTGTGAAAAGTATCAATCAATATATTTAACATAATGACTCCAGTTTTTTATAAATATAAGTAAGCACTGAAACATACAATTAATAATACAATAGCAAATAAAAAATGCATAAGTAATATGATAAATGACTATTTTATTTATTTAAAATGCAAATAAAACGGAGCTGCTTTATATAAAATATGATTTACAATGTAAAATAAATATAATGTCAAAAAAGAAAATTAAAAGCGTAAAATTTGTTTTGGTTATTCTTATTTCGTTGCTGGAGATGAAACGGAAAGATGTTCCACGTGTAGATAGAAAATCACAAGTAGTCCCCGTTATAATGAGTCCAAGATAGGCTTCATATATAAAATACAAGGTTTTACTCTGATTTGGTTTCGTAAATTATTACTCATTTATTTTCAACTGGCTATATAATCAAATTGTAAATATATTTACTGGATCTCATTTATGAAGAATATTAAAAAGTACCTACTGGTTCAATCATCATTATTTTGAAATCAAAGACGACACTTAAATTTCATTTATTTTGTCAAATTAAAATATAGAAATAGTTAACTCTGGAAAAGTGCATTTGAACATAAATAAATAATTAAAAACAGCTACATACCTAAACTCTTCTGTTTATTTTTTGCCTAATGAGTTTTTAAAGACCCAATGCATTACTTATAATAATAGTTAACCGTTCTAATGTATAACCTACATAGCTTTTATTGGTATGAACTGATGTAGTTAATTTTAAAATTCATTAGCAATACATGAGCTAGACTTAGTATAGAAAATATAAGAAGACTAGACTAGAAGCTTTACCTATTTTATACATAAGTAAGTATTTAGTTGCGAAGCGTTGATTATATTTAAATGATTTTACGTATGTTAAGTTTTATTTTCAGCTGTCAATTGTTATCAGATTAAAATGAAGTTTTTTATTGATATTACCTATTTATCAAATGAATAATTTTCGTTTAATTTAGTTATGTGCGTTTTAGCTTTGTAATCTTTGTTTATCTGGGAGATATATAATAAATAAATGTTTTTTAAGCATCGCAAAATTTTGGTTCTTCCACCAAATAGCGGTTAATAATAATAAAAAACTCAATGTCTTTTTCGGAATAGTGGTGGTCGTAAAAGAAAAATTAAGTCCGCCATAACATTCAGCGGGCGGTCGGTGAAATGAAAACATTATGTTTCGTTATGATTTATTTTGTTTTTTATGTGGCTATCGCCGAATTCATTACGGCTATACGTTTTACTGGAATGTTTTATTTTATTACTTGAAATATAAAGCTCATTCTGTATTCGGCGTGCAGTGAACTTCGATTAGAGTTACAAATTAGTTGTTAACTAATTCGTTATTTGTTTCCCTTTTCATGTTTAGATAAGGTATGACATTGCGATAACATCTAATGATCGTTCCTCGGTAGAATACAGTTATAATATTCAAAAAAACCGTCTTTTACACTTTGAGGTGATACATTTAATAGCGTTTTGTCAATAATAAAATTAAATTTTTTTTTTTTTGTACTTTTTGAAACATCTAAGACGTTTTTATTTCTTCTCGTACAAATAACTTACTAATTGCCGTCATTTTGTATGTTAATGGTAACAAGAGTTTGAAGATAATACGACCATGAAAGTGAAAACACAAAATTATACTAAGTTTTAAGCACATAATGAAAAAAAAAGAAAAAAATTATGATAAGTATCAATTATTTTATATTAAAAGAAATGTTTTTCAATACACGAGGTCGGTCTAGTATAAAACACTAATCATTCATACAGACTGTGGTTTCTTTGCCGTCTGAAAGTAACATACACAAGAAGTGTACAAAAAGTTTCGTCTCCATGGATGTGAGGTTTACGAAGACGGAGAAAATTTCCCGTCACGACTTACGAGAAGTGTATACTTGGTAACGAAGCTATTTATTAGTTGCTTGTTGCGTGTTCACACTGACAGCGAGTCATTTACATACTGATTTAATATTGAATAGTCTCATACAAAATAAATTACAATTCGGCTGAACTACTATGTATAATTCTTTTAATATTCTTATTAATTTAATATTGTTATATCTTCAGTGTATAAAGACCTTATACCCCCACTCCCCCACTTCGTGTTTTGAACTCACAATCAGTACAAAAACCTCACGTCCCGAGATTTTGCTTATTGAAAAAGTTACCAATTCTTTTGAATTTACGTGAAGAATGGTATGCCTATGTATATAATTATAATTGTATCTCAAAGTCTAACATTGATATGAAATAAAGATCTAATTTAAATTCTTTTTAAGTAATTCTCAAATATTTATATTACTTCTCATAGAAAGGTATCTACTTAGGTAAGTGTGCGACGTCGTTTGTTTAAATAAGTTATTTAACTTTCTGTCTATAACTTTCGCCATGTTTATCTTATATCACCCATTTTCTCCAGTATTTCAGTATCTAGTGTATATTTGTATCATAATATTAAACACAAGTCTAAGACAAACCAAGATTCAATAAATATTTCCTCACTTTAATGTTTTCAATATTATATTTTTTATTAAAAATTCTGCGGGAATTTTCGAGAAACTTTCTTCTTTTTATAATTTTCAATAAACTCTACAATCTATGCCAAATTTACAACCAAATTGTAACTATTTTTTTCTAGTTAAATTAAAAAATCACACGGATTAAGACTCCCATAAAAAACAAGATTGAAATACTTTTATTGCTTCACATAAACTATTATTCGTTTATCATTTATTATAATATCATTAATAGAATCTTCTAGAAACACCATATTAAAATAAGTTTTCTATCACACGTTCAAATATAATCGATAACTCTCGTAAACATATGATATATGATATATGAAATATTTGAAGCGATATATTGTTTATGTAACTTTATACATATATTTATTAAATTACAAAGAATGATTCATAAGCCAGCCGGGTCTGTTTGCTTCTATGATGGATGTTGCTTCAAAGGGAATCGATAATACTCGTCCAATGTCGTATCGAAATTGGAAAGGAGTGGAGGTCGCCTGCTTGTTGATCTCTCAATATTGATCTGTTTTATGTGCTAGATGTTCAGGTGTCATTTGCAACTATTGACTCATCTCTAACAGAAATAATGTTTACTTTAATCATTCGATTTTATTAAGTATATGTATTATAATGTATCAATCACTTATAAAGCGAAAGTTGTGTGTTATAAATAAAACGTTTTAATTTGCTTCCCAATCTATTAACACAGAATGATCTATACAGAAGTACAAATGGGTAAGAAAATTTACAAGCTGCCTGCAAATATATACTAGGTATATTGTTAAAATAACATACTCATTCATTTCTTTAAGATGATATTAGAAAAAGTTTAAAACGAGGAGTTGCTTCGATTTGCATCCATTAAACGCTCTTATTACATAACTTAAAATAAAAAATATATTAAATTTATAAATATCCAGTAAAAAACAATCTGCACACGTCTTTTTACTAATGCCTATAATATACAGCTGAAGTCCTATTGTACTTGTATAATTACTTTGTATGTCGTGATATTTGACGCCTATATGTATTTTTAAATAATGTTTTTACAATAAACTTAAGAAAAAAATATATGTCTTGAAACGTAGCTATGTAAAAAAATATTGCAAATAGTAAAGAGATCATAATTTTTTTAATGATATTACTCTATCGACTTCTGATACTTAAACATTGAACAGAGCGTTCACCTTTAAAACGCTAGACTAAAAGGTAAATATGTATATTTGTAGCCAAAAGTTCAACTACTTTTATGAACACATTAGTACAAACAAGAAGTGACTTAAGAATTCATATAACTTTCAAAAAAATAATAACCACTGCTGAGCAAAGGCCTCTTTCTCACATGGAGAAGGTTTGAGCATTAATCACTACGCTTGCTCAAGACGGGTTGGTGATTTCAAACTTATAATTGTGAAACTATAAATCCAGGTTTCCTCACGATGTTTTCCTTCACCGTATGTCAGTGATGTCTAAATACTCTCAGAAAGTACATATGACTCCGAAAAATCACATTGGTGCTTGCCAGGTCTGAACCCGCGCCCTCGGCAACGAGAGGCGGACCCTTTAACCACTAGGCCACCACTGACTTCAACATTCATTGGGATGATATTCGTAGGAAAAACACTGGTACGTGTATTTCATTGAGTCACAAACAATCACCTATATAGTCCATGGGCTAGTGGACTGTAGAGTAAATAGATTAGAGGGTAACCGTCTGAAGAATGGAAATACAGTCAGTAATAGAAAACGTCTGGTCGTTTAATGTAAACATCAACAGGCGAGTGTTTGGTTAGAGATATAATTAATATTACTCAATACTGTTCTGTAAATTAAAATCGAAAGTTATTTCATTTTATATATTAACTAGTTTTTGCACGCGACTTAGTTCGAATGAGCATGTCACAGATTAAAAATTTATACAATGTGTTAAAACAATATGTATGGTTACGTCAACTCCATTTATAGTCTGTGTCTCGTGACATCATACATACACAATACTATTGTTAAAACCGTTTGGGGCTAACAGATAATTATGAATGTCAAATGTAATATAATTTGCAATAAAATAATACTTCGATTACAAATTAGGAAGTAAGTTACCCTATCTTTTAAATTGGATCAAACTGCACGCGGTGTGCAAATTTACTTGAAATAGGTGAAGTAGTTTAGGAGTTCATCGCGGACTAACGACGTGATACTTGAGTTATAGATAATAAGATAAAAAAAACGTTAGATGTTAAACGTGTTGTACTACAAAATAGCTAACTTTGATATTTTCGTATTTCTCTCGTATATTTCAAACTCTGACCTCAATATATATGTCCGGTTTCTTAAAACCCAAATGGAAACGAATTCTGAAGTTATGATAACATCTTTCATATCGTAAAATACTCGTAACAGTTACATCAGAAGTATACATAATGTTTTAAAATGTTTCAAACATAAAACTGAATATAGAACGAATTAGTAATTATGTTAAGGATTTTTTTTAAAGATAATTTAGACGTTATTCAGCTGACTTCAAATCTTCACAAGAACAAAGTACATATTGTTTAAATTAGAAGTAGTGTGAAATTCATATCACGATGCATTTACGATTATAAAGAAATTAAGGTAAAAGATATCATTACTTATTTTGTTCCTTAAAATAATTATAGTTTCCTTTACCTAGGTTGTAATGCTAAAACGAATAATTAAATTGATTATCTATATAAAGGTATCTCAATAAGTATCTTAAAAAATAAATTTTAAATATTAAAAGTGCTGGAGGTATTTAAAATGCTATTCCATCTATCCGGAATGACGTTTAATAGCTGCGGGCTTCGGAAGAAACGAAACTTGGCGTTGAAGACTCACGTTTATTAAAATATTATTCGGCGTTTCAGTTACTGATAATTGCTACTATATATTCTTAAAATACTCTTTTCAGTTGTGTTTTATTCCTTGTTTGTTGAAGTGAAGCCATCATCATAATATTCCAGTGTATCTTGTGTGTAAATAAAAGTTTTCCAAGATACATATTGAAGGTCCCCCGGGAGCGAGACGTTCCTCGTTATAAATTGATACTAGTGATAGAAGACCGACACCATCTCACAGTTTGTATATAAAACGTTCGGAAATGAGAAAACTTTAACGTATTTTATCAATACTTTTATATACATATATATGTTTTTTGCTAAATGTTATATTTTTTTTATATCTCTTATGCATTATTCCTTCTTTATATGTTTGCAAACACATATTTCTAGTTTTTACGTAGTTTTTTATCGACCATCTTTGGAAATATTTTTCTATGAAACTGAATATAAAACCATGGATATTCACCAATATTCAATATAGACAAAGCTGAAGTTACCAACCACGGTGGTGCCTACTTAATTCTATAATATTTAAGGAAAATATAACAGCTCCCGTATTTCAAATCCGATCATCGTAAAGAACTCAACATTAAAGGCAATTTAATATCTCCTAATGAATCTTCTTAGGGGCTTATTTACACTGATCAAATCTTCAATTGCCGGCTCCTTTAACTAATCAAATCTTCTTATCATGAAATTTTATCAAATAAAAGACATTACACGTTAAACAGCCATTATATTGGTGTTGTATCAAAAGAAAGGGAACTGGAAGTTGGTTTTTCGTACCTGTAATATGCTTCTAGAAATCATAGATTTATACGTCTTGAAATAAAAGTAATATTTTTTGAATTTACTACGAATTATGTTACTTTTATTTCAATGAAACTCGCGAAATCTCAGATCTCATAATTTACATATCTTATTTCTATATTTTTTATGTGTTAAAAAATCTATTCATAAACTAAAGTATTTAAAAAAAATAGTATTTTTTTTAAATAATATATGAATTAAATTGTTTATTAATATGTAAAAAATGTTGTTCTTTGAATTTTAAGTATTAAAGCTCTGTTACAACTCCGTGTTGAGGTTTACAAAAACTTTGTCAAAATACTCTTTAATGAAGTATCTTGTTAAGACTGCTAATGAGGTGTGTTTTTACTCCTTCCCGCTATACTCGTATGTAGCAATAGCGTCACCAC